TTTGCTCCCCTGGCACCCCGAGAAAGGGGGGGGGGCGCTTGGCGTGAGAGGGAGGCAGAGCGGAGCCCTTCAGCAGCGCCGTTCTCCCCCCCCCGGGAGAGACCGGGGCAGGGGGGGGGGAGACTCCAGGCGAGCCTTCCAGACCGCGTCTGTCTTGCCACCCTTTTTTATTCCGAGGATTAGAGGCGCGGAAAGCACGGCAGGCAGAACAGCGCTCTCTTTTCAGCAGCAGTTCGGGGGGGGGGTGACCGAAGCAGGAGGGGGGGCTCGGGTCTCCCGGGGCAACGATTCAGCCCCCCCCCCAAGCAGCGGCTCTGCCCGGTCCCTCCCTGACCCGGACAGCCGTCGGTGGAGATGGCCTTTGCGGAGAACAGCCAGGATGGAAAATCCACTCCCTACACACACACACAAACACACACAAACACCCAGACACCACCTCAGCCTCTCCTCCCTCTCCCCACCTTCAATTAGGGGGGAAAAAAATCTTTGCACCTTTTCCAGGCAAGCTGGAGCCCACCCACCCACGCCCACCCGCCTACCTAAAGCTAGCAAAGCTGGGGGGGAAGGCTGCTTCCATGGCCCCCTTCTCTCTGGGGAGGTCTCTGGCTCAGACTCACCCCCTCCCCTTTTCTCTTTCCAAAGCAGGGGGGGGGAGATGCTGGGGGGGGGAGCGGCTCTGCAAATTCCTTCCAGCTTGAGGAAAGCCGGCCTAGTTCAGGATAAATAACAGATTCTTAGGTTTCCTCTCCTGCCTCCCAGATGGGGGATAATCTGACGCGCGGGAGAGGCTGGAGGAGAGACCGGAGTGGAATTTGGATGATGTGCTAGCTGTGAATTTGTGCGGGAGAGTGGGTGGGAGGGCACCGGGTTCACAGACTGGCAGGACCCTGCGCCACTTAGGAGCCAGGCTGTGACCCAGTTTTTGGGGGAGGAGGCTGCCTGAGCCTTCCCCAAGGGGGATCCCTGGAGAACCTGGGGGGGGGGGGCATAAAAGTGCACCAAGATCCATCTGGCTCTTGAGNTTTGCTCCCCTGGCACCCCGAGAAAGGGGGGGGGGCGCTTGGCGTGAGAGGGAGGCAGAGCGGAGCCCTTCAGCAGCGCCGTTCTCCCCCCCCCGGGAGAGACCGGGGCAGGGGGGGGGGAGACTCCAGGCGAGCCTTCCAGACCGCGTCTGTCTTGCCACCCTTTTTTATTCCGAGGATTAGAGGCGCGGAAAGCACGCCAGGCAGAACAGCGCTCTCTTTTCAGCAGCAGTTCGGGGGGGGGGTGACCGAAGCAGGAGGGGGGGCTCGGGTCTCCCGGGGCAACGATTCAGCCCCCCCCCCCAAGCAGCGGCTCTGCCCGGTCCCTCCCTGACCCGGACAGCCGTCGGTGGAGATGGCCTTTGCGGAGAACAGCCAGGATGGAAAATCCACTCCCTACACACACACACAAACACCCAGACACCACCTCAGCCTCTCCTCCCTCTCCCCACCTTCAATTAGGGGGGGAAAAAAATCTTTGCACCTTTTCCAGGCAAGCTGGAGCCCACCCACCCACGCCCACCCGCCCACCTAAAGCTAGCAAAGCTGGGGGGGAAGGCTGCTTCCATGGCCCCCTTCTCTCTGGGGAGGTCTCTGGCTCAGACTCACCCCCTCCCCTTTTCTCTTTCCAAAGCAGGGGGGGAGATGCGGGGGGGGGGAGCGGCTCTGCAAATTCCTTCCAGCTTGAGGAAAGCCGGCCTAGTTCAGGATAAATAACAAGATTCTTAGGTTTCCTCTCCTGCCTCCCAGATGGGGGATAATCTGACGCGGGAGAGGCTGGAGGAGAGACCGAAATGGAATTTGGATGATGTGCGCTGTGAATTTGTGCGGGAGAGTGGGTGGGAGGGCACCGGGTTCACAGACTGGCAGGACCCTGCGCCACTTAGGAGCCAGGCTGTGACCCAGTTTTTGGGGGAGGAGGCTGCCTGAGCCTTCTCCAAGGGGGATCCCTGGAGAACCGGGGGGGGGGGGGTCATAAAAGTGCATCAAGATCCATCTGGCTCTTGAGGAGGCAGAAGCCAAAGGCAAGTCTGGGCTGGAGCTGCTTGGGGGGGAGCAGAGCGAAGTGAATCCTCCAGCCTTAGAGGCAGTCTACCTCTGTGGCCCATCTAGCATCTAGGGGCCTTTGAGGTCCTAACCCTGCTCTAGGGTCGACACCACCGAGATGCCACTGAAAATTGTGAGGAATGGCACCCTGGAATGGCAAGCAGCCCCGCCCTGCTGTCCCACCCTCCTTTTTTGGGGGAAAAAAAACCCCATATCTGTTCTCCTCCTTTTTGGACCTTGCCACGCCCCTTGCAAAACTGCCCTTTTTGCTCACGTCCTTTGCTCGCATCTTGTCCCTCATCAAGGGAAGCATGGCGGCAGCCGCCTGACTCCGGCCAGCCAAGGGCCACGCAGCCTGTTTTTCCAACAGAGTTGACCCCGTCTCTACTTCCAGAGGGAGAGGTTGCTTGGCACCCCTGCCACTCTCCACCTTCTGCTTCATCGGGGAGGCTGTCATCCCAGTTTTAGGGCAGGAGAAACGCAATCATCGGAAAAAACAAAGCAGACGGGATTGAAGTGGTCTGCCCAGGACACGCAGGGCTACGGCGCTGATTGGATCCAGACCTCTTGGAAAATCTGATTGAATAGCAAACACACAATTAAGCAGTGGGAGCCAATCCAGAGGAGAAAAATTTGCATAGCTTAGCTGGCTGGGGAATTTTGGGAGTTGTCCACAGGTGTAAAAGTTTAAAATTTGCTAAAGTTGGACACCCCGGGTTTACCCCTTCCTGGGATTCAGCAAGGCTGCTACCTGGAAGTTAATGCCTCAGTTTTCCCATGAAGCCTCAGTCTTTTCTGCCTCTTCTGCCTGTTGCACAATTGTTAGCTCATACAACACCGTTGGCGTCGCCTCCCTCGGGGGAAGCTGTCATGACAGACAGTTGTGCAAGTTCTTGATGATTGTTGACTATTTTTTTTCGGAAACATGACAATGTCCCTCCTCACCCCTAATTCTCCTTAAAGTCTCTCCTTGCCTCATACTTGGCTTCTTCTTCAACCTGGCTTAAGGCCCAGTCTGTGTGCGTGTGATTTGTGTGTTTTAAGAAAGGAAACAAAAACTCAAAGAAAGATACCACTGAAGTAAGAAGCATCTGAAAGATGAACAGGTTCATTGTAGCATCAGCAAATGTGGTGCAAAGACACGCAGGAATGTGCACATACCCGGGGGAGGGAGGGAAGGGGCTTTACAAAATGCCCCCCCCCCAGTGGGAGAGCTGGGTGTGTCCCTTGCAAATTGAGCCCAGCTGTAAACGCAGCCCAGTTTGGGAGGGAAGAAGCCCCACTTGAAGGGGTGTGACCGGCAAGCAGTTGAGAAAGGGGTGAATCAGCCACAGGCGTCCTCCGCTGGGTCAATCCTAAAGGTTCAACGTCTCCAAAAAAACCTCCACGGGATCCAGGGCGGGCAGGATCCGTGGCGGAAGAGCAGCTCCAGTCTTCTCCAACCTTCACTGCGGAGCCCAGATTCAGTCTGAGGTGGATCAGGTTTAACCCAAGGAAGGGGACGTCGCCCCCTCCCCCCCCGGTCCGGTCAGGGAGTCCACGTCTCACCCGGGGTCCCTTGGGACTGGCTCACCTCGGACGCCATCTTCTTCCAGGGGTCAACATGATGCTGCGGAAGATCGCGGTGGCTGCGGCCTCCAAACCAGCCGTGGAGATCAAGCAGGAGGGATCCTCCTTCTACATCAAGACCTCCACCACAGTTCGCACCACGGAGATCCGTTTTGAGATCGGCGAGGACTTTGAGGAGCAGACGGTGGATGGGAGGCCTTGCAAGGTGAGGGGCAGACAGATGAAGGGCCTGTGGCTGGGGGCAGGGGGTTTCCGTGGGCCAGGAGAGGGGGGGCCCTGCTGGATGAGGTGGGCCCCAGATCTGTGGTGCCCCCTCCCTCGACAATTCAGGCCTCTCTGCTCTGGAGAAGATGGGCCTCCAGCTGCACAGAGGGCTGGTGTTGTTGTGGAGGACACAGGCTGCCCCTCCCTGGCTTTTGTGATTGCCCCCCCCCCAAGTACGGCCACTTTCTCCCTAGTTGGACCTGCTGCAGCCAAAGGTGGGGAGGGCTGGCCCTGCAAAATGGGGGCAGAAAGGCCCAGCTGAGGGGGAGGAGATGGTCCATTGGCCCTTCCACCCTCTTCCCAATCGCCTTTCTGCATCGCAACCCATGAAGAGGCATCTCTTTGCTCCCCCCCCCCAGCCCTTCTCAGCCTGGGCAGACAATGAAAGGGGCGGGGGTCTCCAGTGGCCCTTCAAAGCCTCTGCCCTCCGGCTCCCCCCTCCCTCTCGGACAGCCCCCCTCCCCAGTGATGCCTCTCTCCCACCCATCAGCAGCCTTATTTTGCCGGGTGACAAATGAGTTGTGATGGGAGGGGGTTGTGTGCCTTGGTTGGCGGCAGCAGGCCCCTTTTTTCAAAGGGGGCCCCACTTTCTTTCCTTCCCAACTTTCCAGAGTTTGGCCAAGTGGGAGAACAACAACAAGATCGTGTGTGAGCAGAAGCTGCTGAAAGGAGAAGGGCCCCAAACAAGCTGGACCCGGGAACTGACCAATGACGGGGAGCTCATCCTGGTGAGGACCCCCCCACCCCCCAATTTCTTTTCACTTGGCAGTGGGGAACCCACCGGATCTGCCCTTCTCCCTCTTGCTTTCTCAGCTGCCCCCTTTTTTGACCTTTGGGCGATAAAGCACAGACTGGCCTCTGCGAGATCAGTGCCACATCCAAACTTGGGGTGCACTTTCTCAACACTCTCCCCCCCCCAGATGGCACAGGAGGTGGGAGCTGCAGGGAAAGCTGCCCACCCTACAGAACCCTTTCCCCTCCCGTGGAAGGCAGGAACCGCAAAAAGTTTTTTTGCGGTTCCAAGGTGCAGATCCTGGGCGGGGGGGCAGCCTGTGGGGACCCCTTACCCCTTCTCCCCGCCTTTCGGCCTCTTTGCTCCCCAGCCTGGGAGAGAACCAGTTTTGCTTCCTTCTCAACTCAGCTTCTTTGCTTTCTCAGACCATGAAGGCGGACGACGTCGTCTGCACCCGGATTTACGTCCGCGAGTGAAAGGACTCCAGCCAGTGCCAGACACAGCGGGGGGGGGGAAGGGGGGAGACAGACCGGACAGGCCAGGACCATCCCTGCCCTGCAGCGCAATGCCAGCCTGGTCCCTGCTGCCTGGTCCCTGCTTTCTGCTGCGCTCAGAGGCACCGTCTCCAACAAGACTAAACAAAGCTGGCCAGTGGGGTCCTTCTACCCTGGCTGGAGGGGAGGGGGCCGAGGCAACCTCTCCTCTTCCAAGACCCACCCCACCCCCCCTTTACCCTGCCTGGTTTGAGCCATTAACTGTGGAATCTGGGGTCAGCTTGGGGGGGGGGTCAGGACGTGGCCCCTACAAGCTGTCTTCCCTCCTCCCCATTTGGGGTGGGGCACGGGGGCTTCCCTGGGCTCCTTGGCGGCAGCAGGTGTCCCTGACGCCCCCTCCTCTTTGTTCCTGGCCGGTTTGTGCTGCTCGTGTGGAACAAGCAAAGTTGCAGAGATGTCTTGCTGCAGGGACACCCCCCCCCCAAGGGCTGGGGCAGACCAGCTCTCACCCCCCCCACCACCTTCTCCTGTCCTTTTAGCGCGAAGTCTCTAATGCCTGTGAAGGCGCCCTCATTCCCAAAGCCGGCATTAAAAGCTTTTTCCAGGTCTTCCGCCTCCTTCCTTTCTACGTCCCTGAAGCCCTTTTGGTTCATTCCCACCCCATCGGATCCTCAGCCCACTTTTTAAGATTCCAGAGGCTCTGCTGCTCCTTGGGGGGTCCCCATTATGGGAGGGTAGGGTGAAATTGGGGTCCCTGAGCAGGAAAGCGGCTCTCCAAGGCGGATCGAGGCCTCCAGCGTAGGGCACATGGGTCACCTCCTGGAGTTGAGGCTGGGGTCTTTCCACAAGTTCTGGTCAGGATTGGGGGGCGCCGGGCCTCGGAAATTCCTGGCCGCTTTAAATCAAGGGGGCAACCCCCCCCACCCAGCCAGCAGAAGCACAGGGCCTTTGGGCCAAGGGGAGGCAGAGTGGGCCCCCTTCACCGCTCTGCCAGGGCAGCTGGGAAGAAGACCCTCTGCCTGCCCTGACCGGCTGCACCTACTTACAGCCAGGTGGGCCCAACCTTGGAGAGGCCAAGCGCTCTATCAAGCCCCCCTCTGTTGCCATGGCAAAGGCGGGGACCCCCTCCTGCATTTTGTGCCTGGGAGCCTTCGGCATTATCCCAGGCAACCTCGCTTGCAGTGACCTCAAGCACCATTTTTCCTCTCGGGTTCCCAAGGAGGAGAACAAAGCAAGCCCCCCACCCCTCCTTCCTTGCTCTGAAAGGGGCACTTTTCATCCTCAAACAAAGCCTGTCACGGCCCTCTCCCTCTCGGCGCCCGGCAGGTCAGAGGCCACGGAGACTGGCGGTCCCTCCTCCAGCTCTGCACCAATGAGGTGGGGGGTAAAGAGTTGGGGGTGCTTGCCCACCTCCTTTCCAGGGAGGCCCAGGGATGATCTGAAGGGCTTCTGGCCAGCCCAAAACTTTGTGTCGGCGGCCACCTGTGGCTCTCTGCACCTGCAGATCCCGCCCCTTTGGGATCAACATTGGCCAATGCATTCAAAGCCCACCTCAAGAGAGCAAAAAGGGGGCCCCCAGCCCGTGGGATCCTCTTGGAAGACCCCTGCTGGGCAGAGAACCAGGAAGATGTTCCAGGACCAGCAGACCCTCCTTCACTGCCAAGCAGGGACCTTCCCTTCCCCAATGACAAACAAGAAGCCATGTTTTGTTCTTAAACATAACACGGTATATTTGTTCTAATTTTTGTTCTGAATCTGGGGGCGGCGAGTTCCAGGAATCTCTCCCCTTTGCAGTTCCTTAAAGAGTCCACCAGGGGCAGCATTTGCTGCCTAGACTCTGTTCCAGAAGCGACCCCCAGTGGCCAGCAGGGGGCAGCCTTCACTGCCGCTCAGCTTTCCACCAGCCCTTCCAAGCCCTGGGATGATGGCATGGGGAGACCTCAAACTTCCCCCCCACCTGCTTGGTGAGCAAGAACCAGCAAAGGAGACCCCTGAGAAGACGCCTCAAAAAACAACAACTGGGGAGTGCAGCCCCTAACGCGGACCCCCTCTTCTCAAAGCAGGGACGTTCCTCGCCGGGTTCCTGGTGCTTGGAGAAAAGGGGGTTCACGTCCATGAGAAAATCTCCGCCCTTTTCATCAGAAGCATCCCACGCTTTTCCCCTCTCCTTGCGCCCATCTGACCAAACATTCCCGAGGATCTGGGGACCCCGTTCAAATCTCTGCAACGACCCCCAACAGCCAGGAGGCAAAGCCACCCCGACCGGGGAGACTCAGTGCATTGAACTCGCCACATCTGAGCATCTTCCCCCCCCCCTTTTCCTGTAAGGGCCACAATCTGATAGCCACGCTCTGCCTTTCCTGCGCTTTCAAAAAGCGATTTTAAGTTTGGCACCGTGCTGAAAAAAAGGCTTCTTTCTGCAGCAGCGCATAAAAATTTGGCAGAACTTGGCCCGGCTGGTGGAATGCCTCGGTCTGCGGAGCGTCCAGGCAGGGAGGCTCTCCTTCTGCAGCCTTGGCACAGCCGTTGTCCGGCCTGCCTCCTTGCAGCCTGGGACCTGGTCCCATTCAGAAGCAAGAGCCGAGATTTTGTGGGAAGGGGCCAGTCGGGCCCTGCGCCGATCCCACCTTGCGGGGAATCAGCCGGTTATGACCCACAAGTGGGTCATCGAACACAGAAGCTGCAACTGGTGCCGACGGCTGCATTTGCACACCAATCCAGTGGAAAGTGAGCGAGCGAGGGGACGAGCGAGGGGACGGTGGGCCCCATTGCGCTAAGCCCCAGACAAAGCAGTTAAGGGCGGAGGAGGAGGCGGAGGCGGAAGGGGGGGGGACAGCATCAATAACCAGGCAGACAGTGATCTGGAGAATCACCTTTTTTCCTTGAAGCAAAATTCAAGTAAAGTTCTGCACACCCCGGAGACCCACTCCCACAACAGGGGCTCAAAAGTCTTCGCGTTTCTCCAGTCAGTTTGCAGACAGGAGGCAGAGCAGAAGCAAAAAAAAAAAATAGAGAGAGGAAAAGCAAAAAGTGGGGAATGAACCCCAAAGGTTCCTCAGCAGACACCAAGCTTTGCCGAGTTTGGAAACCAAGGAGGGGCAGTTCTCGTCTCGCCTGGCCCCACATGCCAGAGGTGGGGGGGGGGCTCGGGGCAAGCAGGACCACCCAGGAGGCCGAGAGCACCCCCACACCGCTAACCCCTAACGCTGACTATGCTACCCAAAAAAAGACCCACTGTTATTGCGAATGCACTTGTAAAGAGAGGAGGGGGCAGCATCCAGGACGGTCCCGGACAAGGCACTTAAAAGCAAAGGGGGATCTCCCTGAAACCCCCTCCCCCACCTGCCAGGACTTGTCGATGTCCAGCTCCCCGCCCATCAGCCGCCTCCTGGCTTGTCTGCAAGATCCCCATCCTGGCTAGACTTTTGAGATGGCCGAGGCTGGGAGACGGACGCGTTCCCACGGCCTCCGGGACTCCTTGCCCTCAGCAGACGACGAAGCCAGGGTCAGGAGGACTAACCCTGGATGCAAAGGAAGCTGGCTTGCAGCCGATGGGGGTCTGGACATTTTGTTTCTCTTTGGAGCCGGGGCTCTCCTAGAAAGAAACCAGCATTATCGTCCCAAGCTGGCAAACCAGGGCAGGCCCAGAGCGGTCGGGCACCAAAGGCAGCAGAGGCTCTCAAGTTGATTTCTAGGCTGGAATGCTTTGGGGGAGGGGGTCCTAAGCTAAGACACCCTAAGCTAGAAGGGGACTCCCAGATGCGGCCAACCTCTAGAGGGTTGGGGGATCTTTGGCCAAGGGTCTTTCTGAAGCGGAGGGACTGCCCGGCCCTTGACCGCTCTGGCTGGACGGCTACCGGCAGTTGTGCTTCTTAAGGCACCCTGGGCTTCCCGCCCTGCGAGGCCACACGGGGCGGGGGAGGGGGGGCTCCGTCCGCCAGGCTACGAGGTCTGGCACTGGACGTTGTGGCGCAGAGGGTCCTCAAAGTCATCTTCGTGGTAGATCTCGCTCTGGAAGCGACGGCCGCAGAAGTCCGGCTGGGGGAAGTATTCCCGCAGCTCCACCTCCTCCATGTCCTCCGTGGCCATCACCTCTTCGTGGCGGGGGAAGAAGGACTGGAACTGGCGCAGCTGGTGGGGGGGCAGCCAGCCGGGCTCCGGGAATTTCACCTGGGCAGCAGAGGGGGAGGGGCAGGAGAGTAGGCAGCTGTAGCTGGGGGGGGGGAGGAGGAAGGGGGACCAGGCTCCTTCCCAGCAGGACAATCCACAGGAATTGGGGAAAATGGGGGAGCTACGGGGGCCCCCCCCAAGACGGCCGCCAACGATTCTGGCTCGCCGCCTCCTCCTCCTCCTCCTCCAGGCCTTGCTCAGATGGGGCTCTGGAGCCAACCAGGCTTGGGGGGGCACCGGGTGGGACTGGCGGGTTGGAAGACCTCACCGGCCCTTCCCCAGAGGAACTCGCTGGGGGGAGACGAGGGTCTCCGTACCTCGAAGTGGACGACCAGTCTCCCCTTCTGGCCAGGGCTGCGGTAGATGGGCATCCCCTCGTTCGGGATGCACCGCACGTCTCCAGGCTTGATCACGCAGCCTGTGGGGCAGAGCAGGCAGGGATGAGGGGCGGGCAGCAGCCCGATCCCAGAAGGCAGCCCCCGGAATCCCCCTTCCCAGGAAAGGGACCTGTGGGAACCATTTCAGCTCCCAAGGGGGGAGGGCCGGCTCCTCCCTCCCTCCCCCAAGCCCAGAGGGCCCCCATCCCCTCACCGGGCCGCGAAGAGACCAAGAGCCTCCGGTTGTCCAGGGTCTGGATGACCTGCTTGCAGCCGCACAAGGCGTCCACCAGCGGCACCTCCCGTCGGACGAGGAGGTCGTTGCCCCTGCGCTGGAAGACCGGGTGCGGCTTCTGGTCCAGCACGATCACAATGTCTCCGGGCTCGAATCCGGGCGCCTGGTCCCCCTCCTGGTGGAAGGTGATTTTCTGCCTGTCGGCCATGCCTGTGGTGGGGGGGAGAAGGGGGAGGGAAAATAGCGGTGGGCTAGGGGCAGCCAGCCTGTAGGATAAACTCTCGCCCATGCAAGGGGCAGTAACTCTTCTGTTACACTGGGGTGGGGGGGGAGAGTCCGTTGCTGTGCATCAGGCTGAGTCTGCCCGATGAATTAAATTAAATCAGCCAGAAGGGATTAAAGATAACCAAAGTGACAACTGACCCAGGAATCTGGGGCCAGGCGGCTGTAACTGGACCGGTTCCTTGGGGGTGTGAAGGGGGTGTGAAGGGGGTGTGAAGGAGGCCCCAAAATGGCGGAAAGGGAGCCACAGCAAAGGGGAAACCAAGGCAGGGAAGCCAGCAAAGTTCATCCCCCCCCTGCCACCCCCGCTGAGCTCACCTTTGTCCAGGTGCACGTTGAGAACCTTCTTCTCCCGGACCACCTTCCGGCCGTTGCAGGCCAGGCAGCGGTCAAGGGGCCGCAGCCATTCCCCTTGGCCCTGGCACTGCGAGCACATGGCCTGGATGTGGTGCACCATGTTGGGCCCCAGCTGGTGGACAATGACCTCCATGCCGGACCCGTGGCATTTGGGACACCGGACGTCGAGGCCCTCTCTGCCACCACGGCCTGCCAAGACAGGGTGGGATGAGGGGACGCTGGGGGCTCACCCTGGACCTGTGAAATTGCCCGGCCCCTCCCGCCTCTTTCAGCCTATTTGCTCATCCTGCCCCCCCACCGCAAAGCTCTCCGTCCCAGCAGTCCTTCCCTTACCTGAGGACGGGTCTTCCCCATTATCTGTCTGGTGGCTGGCCTTCCAGTGATCCCAAGCCTCAGAAGCAGCCCCCCCCCAAGACAGTCCCTGGCCTCTTGAGTTCCTTTCGGAATCCGCCAATGCTGCCCAGAAACAGGGCGCAGCGGACCGAAACAGCTCCCGCCAAGAATCCACTCTGTGCCCAGCCGCTGGGCCCAGAACCCGCCCAGCCACTCAGCTGGGCTAATTCCAGCTCTGGAGCATTTTTGCGGCTGGTTGAGCCGCTGCACACGCCCAACACAAGAGAGTTTTTGGCGCATTGTGCAAACTTGGCCGATGGGCTAAGTCGGGTATCGGGTGAAGCTCTGGCGTCAGCACCGGGTCCTCCCTGCTTCCCAGGTCTCCCTGCACAGCGGATGGAGCCCCCAGCAGCCTCCCCCACTCCTCTGCCCCTGGGGGAAGAGCCCCCGTGTCCCCACTCACCCCCACAGCTCCTGCAGATGACGTTTTTCTGCAGGGAAAGCTTCCGGCTGCCCCCGTTGTAGAGGTCCTCCAGGGTGACGGTCAGCAGGTGGACGGCCGTTTTGCCTACGAAGGGAGAAGCCTCAGAGACAAAGGGCTGTTTTGGGGAAGGAGGAAGAATGGGGGGGGGGCGATGGCTGCGATGACGGAGCCCCTGGGACGTGGGCAGGATGGGGCTTGTCATCGGCTTCCTTCTGGGCTGAGTGTGCCAGGGAGATAAACGCTCGCTCGGAGAGTCTGACTCCCCACTAGGGATTGTTTGTGGGGCACAAACAGACAAACGGGGGGGAGGGGGGTTTCTCAGGAAGCCAAGCACCCTCCCTGTACCTTCTGGGCCCCGACACGGGTGAGAAAAAGGCGGGGGAATTCTCATCCCTGCCCTCCAGCCCCCAAATCCAACAGCGATCCACCCGCACGGATCCCCCTGCCGGCACAGGCGGTCCCAGAGCAGCCCGCCCTACCTCTCCTCTCCACCCGGGGCCCATGCGTGCGGCCCCCTCCTCCGAAGAACAGGTCAAAGATGTCCATCGGGGGCCCAAAGCCACCCCGGCTGGCCGTGCCGCCCTCCTTCATGGCCCGCTCCCCGCCTCGGTCATAGACGGACCTTTTGCTGGGGTCGGACAGGACCTCGTACGCCTGCGAGATCTGCTTGAACTGGGGAGGGAGGAAGAGGGGGCTAAGACCGACCCCAGAGTGGGCGGCAGCACCACCCTTGTCGTGCCCACCTCGGTCTCCCCACCTACCCGCTCCCCCTCGCTGGGGTTCTTGTCCGGATGGTATCTGAGCGCCAGGCGGCGGTACGCCCTCTTGATCTCGTCCATGGTGGCACAGGGCTTGACGCCCAGCAGGTCGTAGTAGCCCGTTTCCTTCACCATCTTTCCTCCGGAGGGGGTGCTAAGGGGGGGAGGGAAGGCTGTTGGTGGGGGGAGGCAGCCCCCCAGGAGATCCAGCCAGTGAGACGATCAGCCAGAGGCCCACAGGGCTCTTCGCCCCATCGTCACAGACCGGCCGCCACCGGACTCTGACGGCTGGCAGGTTTCGCAGAAGGGGCCGATCCGAGGGAGGGGAAACGGGGAGACAACCGGCATGAAAATCTCCCTGAAGCTGCAGCAGCTCAGCAGGTTTTCTCCAGCCACTGTCACTGCAGCAGCAGCAGCGCGTCTACCGCTCAGGCCCTCCGCCCAGCCTCCACAAGGCCAGCTTAATAGCCTGGCAAGGGAGCCGGAGCTGGGCGTGGGGCTGTGTCAGCATCCCAAGGCGCTCATTAGCCGGCCTGCCCCACAGGATGAGCGTGTGTGAGTTTTCAGCCTTGCAGGGCGTGGAGGGCAGATGGAGGAGGAGATGGCGCGCACACCGGCCCAGCCGGCTCGGCCTGCCCTACTTTGCTCGGCTCCTTCTCGGCAGGCCCAGGGGACCCATCGCCCCAAAGGGGAGTCACGGTAAAGCAGGAGGCTGCCTCCTTGCTTCGGCCCCACCAGTCTCAGCCCCCTCCCTCTCCGGCCCCACGGCCTGTTTCCTGGGTCCCTGATGGGCAGGGGTCCCCAAAGAGTTTCTGGGAAGGGTCAGAAGCCCCTCCGGATGCAGCAAAGAGGGCCCGAAGCCCACCTCCCCTCCATCCCCAGGCAGCCTCACCTCCCGCTCTGCCCAAGTGCCCCACAGCTGCCTGTGCCCACCCCACAGCTCCCTCCCTCGGAGCCCCAGCGCGACAATCCACCTTCTCCCGAGTCCTCCTGTGTCTTCTGACGAGAATCTGCCCCCGGAGGCCTGAAAGGGCCCGATTCCCTGGAAATCCACAAGATTGCTGAGCGAACTGTTTTCTCACCTAGAAATCTCCCCGGTGGCAACTTTGTGGGCCGTGTGAGGCACCCAAGCGCAGGGCGGAGGGAGGAGACGCAGCCGCTGCCGCCACCACCCACAAAGCAGCCCTGCCCCGTCAGCTCTTTCGGAAGCCGGGAACTCCTGCGCGCCACCTCGCCCAGAGCAGCTGGGCCAAAACAAGCACCTGATCCTGCAAAAGCTGCGCTGCCTTCGACGCTGTGGGGTGCCCGGCTGTCAGAGGGATCCGGCCCTGGGATCAGACCGTCCCCTCTCCACCACGGAGCTCAAAGGAACCGCCAGGGGACCTTGGCAAGCTGGCACAAGACTGGCTGGCACAGGAGCCGGAGTGCAGCTGACTCTGTGCCACGGCAACCCAGTCAGCCAAGCACCTGCACAGTTACTCACAGAACCTGGTCTTTCATCCCAGGCCATCCCACCCTCAGGTGCCACCAAGTCCGGGCATCAGGCAGAGTCACAACTCACATGCAACTGCCTCACCTTCCTGCCAAGGGACGTCAAGGGGACAGAACGATGCCCCCAAGGGAAGAGGGGCAGAGCCTGCGCATTTACGTCCTCTTGCAAATGATGGGTTACAGAGTGAGCGAGAGAGAGAGAGAGAGGGGAAGAAATGGCGTCCTTCCAAAGGAAGGGAACGCCTTGGGTTGTGGATTTTCCCCCGACTTACAACCGTTTGTTTACCAACTGTTCAAAGTTAAAACAGCGGTGAAAGGAGTGGACCGGTCCTCACGCTTATGACCGTTGCAGCATCCCCACGGTCACACGAGCAAAGCTCAGGTGCTTGGCAACTGGCATGAATTTAGGACGGTTGCTGTGCCTGGGGGGGGGGTGTCATGTGGCCGCCTCTTGTGACCTTCCTAACTAGCTTTTGACCCACAAAATCAAGGGGGGAGGGAGTGTGATTGTCTTAACGACCATGTGAGTCACTGAACGTGATAATAAAAGTTGTAAAGGGAAATTGTTGGCTCCAGTTGTGACTGTAAGTTGGGGACCACCGGTTGCTGCCCCCCTTCCCCCCATCTCTGGGGGCTCCTCTGGGTGGGGACGGGGCTTGATGGGAGAGGCTGGGAAGCGCAGAGAGGATCTTCCTGCGTAAGCAAGAAAACCCACCCAGGGACGGAGCTCCCAACTGGCCTTTGATCTCCTGGTTGCCCCCCCTCCCAACTGACTGGCAGCAGCCAGGAAGATGATGCCCCACATCAAAGCCCATTGTGCACTTCCAGCTGCTGCTGCTGCTGCTGCGTTTTTCAGGCGTTCAATTCCCACAACAAAGGCCGAAAACATTCAGGTTCAAGGCTCCCCCCCCGAACCTTCCCCCCCCCCCAGAGCCTTCCCATCTTCCGCAAAGATGGAAGTTCCAAAGAAGCCGAGATAAGATGAAGCGGGCTTAAGTGTCGGCCGGGCGACGGGGAGTCCAGAGCTCCGCCTGGACGGGGCCCCGACCGACCGACCGCCCACCGGGCAAGGGCCGGGACGCCTCCGCCCCCTCCCCACCCGTCCCGACGAGCCCTGCCTCGCCCAACAGGTCCGGCGGCTGCTCCACCCCACCCCGGCCTGGGAAAGCGTCCGCCGCCCCGAGCCACGCGGGAGATGCCCGGGCGGACCCGCACAGCCCCGGGCGGGCTTCCTCCCTTCCCGGACGCCCCGTCGATCCCCCGGGTCTCCTGCGCGGGGCGCGGGCAGGCGGGCGGTCCCCTCCCGGCGGGCGCGGGCAGGGCGCGGGATTCCCGGCGGGGGGGGTACCCGGGGGGCTTCCCCAGCCCGTTCCTTTCCGGCGCCCGACGGAGCCCCTCGGGGCGAGCGGCTCCCTCCAGCCCAGCCCAGCCCAGCCCGGCGCTCTGCCAGCCGGGCGCCCGACGGGGACTGGCCCGGGCAGGGCGGCGTTGGAGCGCGGGACCCCGGACGGCGCGCCCAAGCCAGCCCCCTCCCCCGCCCGCCCGCCCGCACTACACCGCCCATCCTCCCCAGCCCCGACGGACGACACTCACCCCGCGCTCGGAACTCTCTGGAACGGCGGCCNAGAAGCCGAGATAAGATGAAGCGGGCTTAAGTGTCGGCCGGGCGACGGGGAGTCCAGAGCTCCGCCTGGACGGGGCGCCAACCGACCGACCGCCCACCGGGCAAGGGCCAGGACGCCTCCGCCCCCTCCCCACCCTTCCCGACGAGCCCTGCCTCGCCCAACAGGTCCGGCGGCTGCTCCACCCCGGCCTGGGAAAGCGTCCGCCGCCCCGAGCCACGCGGGAGATGCCCGGGCGGACCCGCACAGCCCCGGGCGGGCTTCCTCCCTTCCCGGACGCCCCGTCGATCCCCCGGGTCTCCTGCGCGGGGCGCGGGCAGGCGGGCGGTCCCCTCCCGGCGGGCGCGGGAAGAGCGCGGGAGTCCCGGCGGGGGAGGTACCCGGGGGGCTTCCCCAGCCCGTTCCTTTCCGGCGCCCGACGGAGCCCCTCGGGGCGAGCGGCTCCCTCCAGCCCAGCCCAGCCCGGCGCTCTGCCAGCCGGGCGCCCGACGGGGTCTGGCCCGGGCAGGGCGGCGTTGGAGCGCGGGACCCCGGACGGCGCGCCCAAGCCAGCCCCCTCCCCCGCCCGCCCGCACTACACCGCCCATCCTCCCCAGCCCCGACGGACGACACTCACCCCGCGCTCGGAACTCTCTGGAACGGCGGCCACGCCTCCCCACCCCCGTGCCCATTGCTCCCCCCCTTGCTTCTCCCGGGGAGGCTCCGCCCTCGGCTGCCGCCATTGGGCCGTTCGCTCGCGGGGCGGGATTCCGCCCGGTGACCTCCACCTATCCGCTTTTTGATTGGGCGCAGGGTAAGCACTCTGGCTGTTCTGATTGGCCAGGATGAAGTGAGGGCGGAAGAAGGGCAAAGCCTACGCTGTGGACGTAGTGAACAAGTTTCCCGTTTCGGCATTTTCCATTTAAGAAACGGGATTTTGGCGCTGGGGAAGGAATAAATAATTTGTTTTTTAAAGGTATCGAGGATCAGGAGGAGGAGGAGGCTGTACCCTCCCAGAGTCGGTGGGAGTCGGGTGACATATAAATTTAATGATTATTATACAGACAGCAACGTGAAATATTGTTTACAACCTCGTGAACTATTATTACCTAATGATAAAAATATTTATTCCATTTGTCATTTATATTCTGCGCAACTCCCAGTTGCATTCCGGAACATAACCATTATAGTTATTAATATTATTGTTAAGAGAGATTTGCTCAGAAGCTGCGGGGGCTTCCTCTGAAACGTCAGCCCGGGCGGGTGGGATTCTCTGAGCCCAGGAGCTGGGGAGAGGGAGGCCACGGCTGGCCACCCTCGTCTTAAGGCAGGGGTTCTCAACCTTGGCCACTTTAAGACTTGTGGACTTCAACTCCCAGAATTCCTCAGCCAGCTTTGCTGGCTGAGGAATTCTGGGAATTGAAGTCCACAAGTCTTAAAGTGGCCAAGGTTGAGAACCCCTGTCTTAAAGGATCCCGTGGGGGATTTTTTGCGTGGATTTCGGTGCTTTCTCTGTTCCGCTCAGCCTTCCCGGGTGCTGGAGAAGGCTGCTGCTGTTTTTCGCCGGGACGCCGCTAGGTGGCGCCCAGCCTCCTCGCTTCGCTGCCTCGCCTCACTTGGGCAGCTGGCGGAGCTCCGCCGCGGCTCGGCGCGCCCGGCCGGGGGCTGATAAGGGTCTGGGGCCCTCGGCTGCTGCTCGGGGCTGACGGAGGAGGGACTGGAGGCATGTGGCTGTCGCCTGTCCGGCCCCTGGGGCATGCAAGTGCAGGCGGAGGGACCGCAGCCCCTTCCAGCCCTCGGGGGAGCCAGAGCCTGGCTAATTCTCCAGCCAGCATCCCCCCCCCGCCCGCCGCCCCCTGCAAGACTGGTTGTGAAGTGGGTCCGGCTGGAGTGGAGTGCCTGGAATTCGCCTGGAGAATGTCACGGCGGCGGCTGAAGGGCACCCCTTCCAGCCCTCTGATAATAGGACTTCACAAAGGCAAGAATTTGGTCACTGCAATGTAAAAATGATTGTTGAGACTCTAGAAAGAGTGCAGAGAAGAG